TATATGCACACATACACTCTCTCTCTGTCCCTCTCTCCCCCTCTCCCACCCCCTCTCTCTCTCTCTCTCCCTCTCTCCCTCTTTACTTTCTCTCTCTCCCTCTCTATATATTTATGCTATTACTCTTTTTTATAGATATATATATATATTACTTTGTCAGGAAATGGCCTTGCTCAATATGTGTGTATCTGTATGTGTTTGTGTATCATACATTATATTGCACATTGCTAACAAACTCTCCCATTATGTTCCCATGTTTGCATACATTATACATTGTTGTGAAAGCTGTAAACATAATATTCAGTATATTGGATAGAATCCTGTATTTATAAAATAGTCTTCTTAAGCAGGATTATGTTATGTGACATTTCCTTGCGAATCATTGAGAGAACATAACAATTCTTACAAGGGAATAAGTGACAAAATGCCCCCCCTTCTGCCCCGAACGCCGTCTCCCTGAATGACTTTCCTCTGGCTGCACGGGGAAATCCAGCAGCAGGAAGGTCTGATTGGCTGAGAATATGGAGAGTGTCTGAAGTCTGATTAATTGGTTGATAGAAGAAAAAATCCCATCAGGTGATGAGGAGAACCGAGGATTTGGAAAGACTGGGACTGTGCAGCCTGAGTGCGGTTTCGGTGCCCAGTGTATTGATAATATTATGGGTGCCATCATCTACTCTGTAACATTTAAAGCTACTGTAAAATGAGTCACAACATTGTCTGTAGCACAGCAGCATGTCTCAGTGACATGGGCTAATTGGTAATTCCAGGGGTTGAAATAGCTCAGATTGTGCGTGAAATGTTTTGTGATTCAGTGAGAAAATGTTCTACAACAAGATCTCAATAGATGACAGACAGCTGTCACAATCAGTCAATGGATTAAAGAGTTACCCCCCTTTTCCGGCAATGGTTATACTGGAAGAATGAGTGGTAAATTAGACAATTTTATAAATAGTATTTTTTATGTTGGCTGTGAATATATTGGGTCCGCTGTGACCCATCCTGGTGACACCCGGAGCACCCATTAATGCACACAAGAATGGCAGCCAGCCTTGCTTTATTCTATCAGCTGGAACAACAAGTTCATGTGTATGCTGTAATGGATAGCACTGTGGAACTATAATGCTCAGACTGGAGGGTGCTGCATATCCTTTTCTCAGTTTTTTGCATTATGCATGTAATGACATGTTCCCAGTGTGAAATTATTAAAATGGGGTTCCATTTACTCGAAGGTCTGTCTGCACCTGATTGTGCAATATTGGCACTTGTTAAATTTTGTAGTGTCCACAGTCCCACATGGCAACAAGCATAATGATTATACCCCCCCCTCCCACCCTCCCCCATTAGATACATTTGGCTCTCATAG